AGTTCAGTTCTAGTTCAGTTCTAGTTCAGTTCTAGTTCAGTTCTAGTTCAGTTCTAGTTCAGTTCTAGTTCAGTTCTAGTTCAGTTCTAGTTCAGTTCTAGTTCAGTTCTAGTTCAGTTCTAGTTCAGTTCTAGTTCAATTCTAGTTCAGTTCTAGTCCAGTTCTAGTTCAGTTCTAGTTAAGTTCTAGTTCAGTTCTAGTTCAGTTATAGTTCAGTTCTAGTTCAGTTCTAGTTCAGTTCTAGTTCAGTTCTAGTTCAGTTCTAGTTCAGTTCTAGTTCAGTTCTAGTTCAGTTCTAGTTCAGTTCTAGTTCAGTTCTAGTTCAGTTCTAGTTCAGTTCTAGTTCAGTTCTAGTTCAATTCTAGTTCAATTCTAGTTCAGTTCTAGTTCAGTTCTAGTTCAGTTCTAGTTCAGTTCTAGTTCAGTTCTAGTTCAGTTCTAGTTCAGTTCTAGTTCAGTTCTAGTTCAGTTCTAGTTCAGTTCTAGTTCAGTTCTAGTTCAGTTCTAGTTCAGTTCTAGTTCAGTTCTAGTTCAGTTCTAGTTCAGTTCTAGTTCAGTTCTAGTTCAGTTCTAGTTCAGTTCTAGTTCAGTTCTAGTTCAGTCCTCGTTCGGTTCTAGTTCCAGTCTAGTTCTGGTTCAGTTCTATTTCAATTCTATGTAGTTTAATTCTAGTTCAATTTTAGTTCAGTTTTTTACTTAAAGTTTTTTTTTTTCCACCAGATTTAAAAGGCAACACGGGTCGAGTGTATGAATTAATTTGCCGGCATTTTTTAGCTTGCGTCAGTAAGGATGCTGCCGGCTCCGAAACGATAGTGACAATATCCATTGCAGGTGAAAAGTTCACAGCTACATGTTTAGTGTCTTGCGTACACTACTACCTAGACGTTTATATATACGATACATGGAATACCGAACAAATACATATGTACGAACAGGGACAAACATTTGAACCAGAAGAAATAACCATGCCAGAAGATGTGACTACAGCACCGCCGCTCTTAATAGAAGCCGATTTAATAGAGCTTATGGACATAAATGGTATTGGTACAGATGCCACGCAAGCCGAACATATTAATACCATTAAAATAAGAGATTATATTAGAGTGTTGGATAATGGTTGTCTAATGCCTACATCTATAGGCATGGGCCTATATGAAGGTTATAATGCTATGGAATTAGCTTTAGCTAAGCCCATGTTAAGAGCTGAATTTGAGCAGGATTTAAAAAAGATTTGCTTAGGTGAAAAGGATCCGAAAACAGTATTACGTGAGCAAATTGTTAAATATAAAGAAGCTTATAATCATATTAAGGGCAACATAAGTGTACTAGTTGCAAAAATGATAGAACGTTTAAACTGTGATGAATTGGATAGTATTAATTATGGTATAACAACTCAACCTGCGCCTGAATGTGGATCAAATAATAATACAGAAGGTAAAATAATAATACATAAGGTAAAAATGCTAAACTATACAAAATTATATTAAGAACTGCTGATTACTGCATAATTATCATCAAGAAGGTTTGTTAAAATATTACTAAATAGGTCCTCCTTTAAGCGATATGCCGACATTCTCATCCACAAGCTATTAAGGTTGTTAGAGTAAGAGCGATGTCGCAACTACTAAAGGTCTTGGGAACAAGTTGTAGAAATACATAAACTAGTTTCCGACAGGGCTATTCATTCCATAACGGTCTGCATTGAGCGCAAATATTAGTATTACCCTCCATAGTGTGTATTTTCCCTAGGGGCTATCATACGCTCCCATGGCTATTTCTCTCTCAATGAGGCGGCCATGGTGAGCTGGTGTACTCTTAGGTCATAGATTTTAATGTGTTTGAATCCGTTTGAATCCACCAGCGTGGACTGCGTCTGCAGATTAGCGGTACCTGCTATTCGAATTTTGAGGATTTCGGAGAAAACACATTTTTGGTAATATTTTTGTAAAACAGGCTTTATTTCTTTATAGAATATGTTAACCCATAAACTGTGAATGTCAAGATCAAGCTTTGTAATATTGGGCAATTTACTTGAAATCATAGTGAAATATTATTTTGTTATCAACCGATTTAAATGAAACTTAGGAAAAATTTATAATGAAGCCCCGTATTTATGATGGCATCGAAAAAATCGAAATTGACCCTTAAACGTAAATATATTTTTATAATTATATAAAATGTCCGTAATATATGCACAAAATAATAGAGAAAACCCGATGTCAGATTCGGTTTCAGCAGCTAAAACATTTAAATCAGTCGAATTGTTTTCAAAAGATTTTACAGACCTTCATTTCTTTAACCTGAGTTATCAATTTCAATTTGTTACCACGACAATCATCGCTCCAGAGTAAGATCGAGGGAAAGCAACTGATTACACTACAATATCTACATTCCGAAAGTTGTCTATCAGGCTACCGTCCTGATATCAGAAGCCTACTAGGCGATAATATACATACGTCTGGTAAACTCTAACTCTTTAGCCTAGGGGAACACTAGAGAGGAGCATTACATGATATATCTTCTACATTCTTAATCTATATATATATAAAATTCTAACGTTACTGACTGACTGACTGATTCATCATCGCACAGCCTAAACGGTTAAAGCTAAAGAGCTGAAATTTGGACAGGGGGTTGGTCTCCCACCAAATAGATCCACTAAGACGGGATTTTTGGAAATTCGAATGTTTAGGGGGTAAAAAAGGGTAAAAACGGGTAAAATCGGTAACATAGCTTAAAGCTTCTCGTCGTTCATTTAAAAAATAAGCGGACAGGTGTCTGGTACTTTTTTCAATTTCGGCCCCTTTAGGGAATAAACGGGTAAAAACTGTATTTTGGTACTTTTTTGCACCCCATGTATCTTTTAAACCAGTGAACATTCAAACAATATTTTTAACTCCTTCATAACTTGACGAAAAAATATAAATTAAGTACTTTTTGGTTATTCGGATGTTTAAGGGGTGAAAATTGTACCTATTTTTGGTACTTTTTTCATAAAACATTGATTTCGGTTTATTAACTTATACATATAAATACATAATAACGGGCTCCCACTACGATGTTGCAACATTTTGGAATAGAATTTTTATTTCGTTAATGGGTAGAAAAAAAAGTACCAAAAGGGGTAAAAACGGGAAATTTGATTTTATTCAACCACAATGATCCAATTTAGATAAAATTTTTAGATTTAGAAACACTAAATATGCTAATGAGGTGTTATTTGGAACCCCGGTACCAAGTGATATTTTTTGGTACTTTTTCATTCTCCATCTGGTACTTTTTGAGTTTTCTTTGATATTGAAATCGAAACATGAAATTAATAATAAAGGGACTTTTCGGTACTTTTTCGTTCTACAAAAGGTACTTTTTGAGTTTTCTATAAAATTTAAATTTAAAGGGGGACTTTTTGGAACTTTTTCGTTCTTCAAAAGGTACTTTTTGAATTTCCTATAATATTGAACCTAGAAACATGAAATTAAGTATGTAGAGCCTGGATTAAGTGAGAACCTATAAAAGGGGACTTTTTTGTACTTTTTCGTTCTTCAAAAGGTACTTTTTGGATTTTTGTATAATATTGAACCTAGAAACATGAAATTAAGCATATAGAGCCCGGATTAAGTGAGGACCTATAAAAGGGGACTTTTTGGTACTTTTTCGTTCTTTAAAAGGTACATTTTGAATTTTCTATAATATTGAACCTAAAAACATGAAATTACGCATTTAGAGCCTGGATTAAGTGAGATCCTATAATAGGGCACTTTTTGGTACTTTTTCGTTCTTCAAAAGGTACTTTTTGTGTTTTTTATAATATTGATCCTAGAAACATGAAATTAAGCATGTGGAGTTAATTAGAATCTATAAAAGTGGGCCCTTTGGTAGACATAAAACTAAGCAATCAGGGACTTGAGTGAATGAAAATTTAAACTGGAATATTTTCTGGTACTTTTTCGGTCTTTAATTGGTACTTTTTGAATTTTCTATAATATTGAACTTAGGAACATGAAATTAAATAAAATAGGTCTTTTGGTACTTTTTCGTACTTCACACGCAGTATCCTAAAAGGATAGAATTGAAGGGATACTTTGGTACTTTTTTTGTTCTTTTACTAATACTTTTCTATAATATTGAACCTAAAAACATAAAATTGGACATGCAGCTTCCTGATTGTATAAAAATCTGTATGCGATTTTTTTAGTTTCCGGTTGCAAATTAAGCATGCGTCATCCTGATTTAATGAAAATATATAAAAAGGCACTGTCTGGTACTTTTTCGTTCTTCAACTGTTTTTTTTTTTAATTTTCTGTAATATTGAGACTAGAATCATAAAATCAAACTTAAAGATATTTATTATATTCCATTGAGGGTAGCGAAGCACACTGGGTATAGCTAGTTAATGATAAACCTGCACGGATTATGGGTAGCTTTGACTTCTTTTCGCTACGACATTGACTTCTTTTCGCTACGACATCAGAATCTGGTGGTTAGGGTAACTACGTCAACAAGAGGCGTTTAGTCAACAACACATTATGTTGTCTTTCCTGAAGTCATATACGTAAATAGATGCTCATATGCATAGCTACTCTATATTCAGTATCTTCGGCCATTAGTTTGGAATTGGCACTGTATGACCATTGGTGCTCATACTGGTATTACGTGATCTTACATAGATTATGTTATCGGAATCATGAACTGTTTTTAATCAACAATATATTATGTTGTTTGAACTGCAGCCAGACCACATATAGAAACTTTACATTGTAATGATGTAACTTTCTTCGACATTGATAATAAGGAGTTAGACGATATATACTTCCGAGTTCCATCAATACATACATTTCGAATAATAATCTAACTGTGTGAGATTGTGATTCGGCTGGTTCCTAATATAGATTCTATATAACTGCAATTTTAAAGCTTATCGAAAATAAAAACCATTTTCAAATCAATGTTACTTTATTTGAATAAATTTTTTAACATTTTTTATGCATCTCAACAAACAGCCGATGAAATTGCTGCCTCCGAACAGCAAGATATTGCTGCTAAAAGTTCTATACTTGGAGAGGTAGGTTCTTCAGCTAAAAAACCAAAATTAGAAAATACGGAAACAATAAATGAAGATTGTTCAGCTATTCGAGTATATACTGGGGAATCCAATTGGTATTCTGGAGACATGTACATTTCGGATAGTGAAGAAGAAGTAAATTGCAATTGCGATATACCTGCCATTAGGTTGACTGTAAGAAAAGAAAACCATAATAAGGGGCGAAAGTTTTATAAATGTTCTAATCGTGAATGTAATTTCTTTCGATGGGCTGATTAAACTGAAGGTAAACATTTCTGGTAAAAAAATATGGAATTTTGTGTCCTTAATATTTAAACTTTTTTTTATTAATTCATGTAGATTGCAGTCAATTTTCTTAGGGCAGTGCCTCCTCATCTGCCTTAGCCAGTTTAATCAAAAAAACGTTTTTTAACGAGAAACCTACCCGTTTCTAATTTTCCACAAAAAGCTGAATATCTAAAAACTAGTTTTATCAACACAACTACTTCTTTTTAATATTATACTCATATTTTAATCAAAATTTAATTTATATTTGTAAGAATATATGTATGTATTTTCATATTGTATTTTATATTTAATTTTTAAGAAAATAATATAAAACTTAATAAAAAATTTTATATTTCAAACAAAAATATAAAACTAAAAAAAATTACTATTTTATTTTTCAATAAAAAAAAATAATTAACCAAAAACCCGTATTTTTTTACCAAAAACCCATAATTTGACTAAAAACCTTTTTTTCATTAAAAACTAGTATATTTTTCAACAAAAACCAGTATATTGCTCAAATACTAAAAACTGTTTTGTTTCACCAAAAACCACTATTTCACAAAAACCTGTATTTTCATTTAAAACTGCTTTACGCAATTTTCTTTCTTATTTCTTGTTGTTATTTCAAACACTTGTTTTTAATTTATGTTACAAATTTATATATTTGTTGTTGGTTTTATTTCTTTTTTACATTATTTCTTGGTTTATTTATCATTATTCTCATCTTAACTTAGCAATTATAGATGTGACCTAAGATTAAAAGTGTTATAAACTAAAAACAAAAAAAGCCAATTTTTCATTTTTAAATTCAGCTTTTATGTTTAAATATTGAGAATTTTCTTTTTTTTAATTTTTTTTATAAATAAAACAAACAGAGGAATACGCTTAAAGTTAGAAAGAATAGGAAGAGATAGAAAGAGAGATTAGAATAGTAAATTAAATTAATATTAAATAATAATTAAATTAAAATAATTATAGTTAAACAATTAATTAAAGTAATTAATTTACTTAAACATAAAGTTAGGTATAAATTTAAAAAGAAACTAATTTATAAAACTAAAAATTGTAGAAGAAATATTGTATAAAATACAAGAGTTTTATATGTTGTATTCAATTGCATTTGGATTGGATTTAAGTTGTTTGTTTTTTTTTTTTTGGTTACATTAGAATACCGTAGAATTTGTTGTTGTTATGTATGTAGTGTTGAAAATTTAAATGTTTTTGTAGTTTATGTTGGCGGGTTGTATGATGAATTTTATAATGAAATCAATCAATTTTTACAGCACTATAGATTTTACGTATAAAACTATAGGCGGCAAAGAAACCAATTGTCCCTGTCAAAAGCCAAAATGTTAAAACCATAAGACCTGTAGAAAGTAAAACAAAACAATTAAAATAAATTGTTTACATTTTAAATCATTAGAAATACTTACTGGTATAACCAAAATACAATAATGTGGGTATAAATTCGGTAATTTCCAGTTTAGTAAAGAAATAGAATATACTATAGAATAGCACATAAACGGCGGAGCCACCCGAAACAATAAAACTACGCCACCACCAACGATAATCCTGTTACAAAAAGAAACATTTTATTTATTTAAAAAAAACATTTAGGTTTCTTTAAGATTTCTTACCTCTCCACACAATTGAAAATAGGTCATGACTATGGAAATTTGGGCACAGCTTACTACCAGTATACAAAATACCAAAAATAGAAAACCAAATAAGTAATAAAATTGATTCTGCCAAATGGCAGTGAAAACAAAAAATAATTCTATAAATACAGCACCAAATGGTAAAATACCAGCCATTAGAGTACTGAAAAAATGGAAAGAGTAAAGAAAAGATTATTTTTTTGTAATTAATTCCAGTTTGTTTTTTTCTTTTATACCTTAATATTGCATTCATATACCAATGCTGTGTTGGTACTTGTCTTGGTATCATATTTGTGCGTACTGGATGCTGATACGGTTGCTTGCGATAACCGAAATAGTAGCCCAAATACACAAGAGGCACTGAAATGCCAAACCATAATAAAAGTAAAGATATCATAGTCTTAAAGGGTACAGCTCCACTTGATTCTTTGTCCCATATAAAGAAGTTTAGGAAAAAGCCAGTTCTATAGAAAATCAAAGGTTTCAATGTATAAATATATTTAAATACATTGTTGTAAAAAATTTACTCACCCAAATACTATGCTGGGATATAAAGTGGCTGTTAAGAAGGCCGATCTCTTCCATTCACGTCCTTTCATAGTTTTATAGAGACGAGCAGCAAAGTAACCAGCAATAATGCCCATAAAAACATACATGAAAATGCCAGAAGTCATGAGAGCACCTCGGGAAGAGGGTGACAACATACCCAACATAGCAAAAACTAAAATGAAAATAAAAGTAAGTAAGTACAATCGTTGCAAAATATGTCATGTTGATCTGATAAAAGATCTCTTTATCTTTTATCAGACCAGCAATTTTCTGAGGTGAGGTAACTTACATATTGTTATTAAAGCCATAAAAAAGATTTGTATGCCACTGCCAATAACAGCAGAAAAGAAGCGGGTATTTTTCGGTGGACGGAATACATCACCATGTACCAATTTCCAACCAGTCTCCTCCAAAGTATCTTCGATATTATCATCGGTATTATAGCGAGCTATATCACGTCTTAAAGTTCGTATCATAATCATAGTTAAAATACCTAAAAAATAAAAACGAATAGAAAATGTAAAAAATAAACAAAATAACAAAAAAAAAAAAAAAAAGAAACTTACCCGATAGGAAGAAAACCACTACCAAAGAATTGATAATGCTAAACCAGTGAATTTGTACATCTTTCATACCCAAATAGATGTCCCAACGTGAAGCCCAACTAACTTTGGACTCTTTCCACTCCACCGAATAGGTAAAGTATAGCTGAGTATTGGAATTACCATTAACCAACTGAGGACGAGCATTATCGGGGAAATTACAATTGTCGCCCTCAAATTTAATATCCTTATAGTTAACAGAAGCTGTTTCTACTTCAAAACCCACCACACGATATTTATCTCTAAAGAAACAAATAGATTTAAATGAAAATACATAAAAATACCACAACTCAACTTACTTGGTGTGCATGTGATATGATAAAATGAATTTCAAATGATTGTTTATATACACATTATCACCATCAACTTGACCCAAACGATAACCATGCTCGTACGTCACTTCATTGGGATTATTTAGATTGACAATGCGCGTTGCCACTGGCAAGTTATCGACCAATAAATGCACGAAATACTCATGTTTTATACGTTCGGCCACCATGGCCGACTGTGGTTGCTCCCAATTCAGCGGGCTATTGTCCTTTTTGTTGCACAGCAATTTACAATTAATATTCACTGCCATTTGTACTTCATAGGGGGTATTAACAATACGATCACCCCGCAAGACTTCACCCAGATTCTCAGATTTATAGATTAAAGTACCATTTTTGGGTAAACAAAATTGCAGTGAATAGTACTGATAAGGTAATTGGGTACGACTACTGGTCATTTTCACTGCTTTAACGTCAATTTTCTGTCCCTTGACAAATTCTACCGGCGCCACTCCGGGTACATAAAAGCAATGAGTCCCACACACTGAAAACACACATACACATAAATATTAGTCTTTGTCCTTTTAACTTACAACTTCTAACTTACCCACTGCCAGCAGGATGGCAAACGCCAGCGTGTAGTACTGTAATAATAAGAGGAAAACGTTTTATTTTAATATTAGTCATCTTAATATCTTATCCACTATATTTTTTCTTGCGTGTGGAAAAAAAAATCAGCTTGCGTGGCGGAGTAGTATCCCTTTTCGCAATTTCCTTTTTTATTTAAAGGATTTTCAATGAACAAACATTTGCTAAGGGAAAAAACATACCTGCATTGTTATGGCTGCTTTAGATGACTATTAATTATTTAATTTTTATGTTTTATTATGGAAAAATTATGCTAAAAACACTAGCTGAAAAATATAATTTCTTTTCTTCTGTCACCGTCAGAGCCCTGCGCCGACAAATATTAACGGCGGCGGCGACTGAATCAAAATATGTCGGCGGCGGCTTAAAATCGACTGTAAGCCGGCTAAGTTTTCAACTACGTTTAGTTTTTAAATTTTCAACGATTTTAAATAAAAACGGATTCCGAGAGATCAGAAAGTGGGATTTTGGAAGCAAATATATTGTTTATAACAACAAAACAGAGCAAGCATAAAAGTTGTGTGAGAAATTATGCAGGGATGGATAAAAAATTCTTAAAAATTAAAAACAAATCCTTTCTCCAAGTTTTACGAGGATCGGCCTATATTTGACCCTATCCTCCATATAAAACATCTTGTAGAAAATCAGTTTTATTCAGTATATTCAGTATATATTCAATATTTTAGAAAACTCAAAAAGTACCAGTTGAAGTACGAAAAAGTACCAAAATACCTATTTTAATTAATTTCATGTTCCTAAGTTCAATATGATAGAAAATTAAAAAAGTACCAATTTAAATTTTCATTTCCTCAAGTCCCTGATTGCTTACACCCAATTTACATGATGATTTTTTTCATGTTTGCCCAGACGTCTGTTTTCATGTTTGTCGATGATTGGTGGTGAGCGGGGTAGAGAAGAATGGGGGGTAAGAAAACAAACATGATTTGGGATTTTTATGATTGTTTTTGACATTCCTCTTTAAACTCATTCGTACTGTTGATATTATGCTCATGTAAAAAAATAATTATGTCTTTTTTTACATGAAAACATTAAAATTTGCATTAAAAAAATACTATAGCGTGTAATTAAATTTTTTTAAATCAAATTAAATGGTTTTTATGTTAAAAATTTCATTTTATTTTTATTACGAATAAGTAATTAAAAAGGATTATACAATTAAACATCAAAAAGAGACATGCATATTGCATGTAAAAAATCACCGTATAAATGTTCATGATTTTTTGGAAGATTCTCAAAAGAGAATTGGAAAAAACAGACGTCTGAAAAGTCTTCATGTAAATTGCGCCTTAGTTTTATATTTCTAGGTTCATTATTATAGAAAACTCAAAAAGTACCATTTGAAGAACGAAAAATTACCATAGGGCGCCCTTCTTATGTATGAGTTAATAAACCAAAAACAATGTTTTATGAAAAAAGTACCAAAACTAGGTACAATTTTAATCCCTTAAATGTCCGAATATCCAAAGTGCTAAATTCATATTTTTATTTTTTCGTAAAGTTATGAAGGTGTCAAAAATATTGTTTAAATGTACCAGACACCTTTCCGATAATTTTTAAATGAACGATGATAAGCTTTAAGCTACACGGCCACTCATCAAATTTGTTTGACTCAAACGGTATGTTTTTTGATTGTGCTAGTGAAGAAACTCACATGTATATATGCGGTGTGAGTTTTTTTAATAACACAACCAAAAAACTTACCGTTTGAGTCAAACAATTTGATGTGTCGCCAAGGCGCTTTAAACTGTTTTTGTATCTTTTCTAGTTTAGAAGATATGAGGTTACCGAATTTACCCGTTTTTACCCTTTTTTACCCCCTAAACATTCGAATTTCCAAAAATCCCGTCTTAGTGGTTCTATTTGGTGGGAGACCAACCTCCTGTCCAAATTTTAGCTCTTTAGCTGCAACCGTTTAGGCTGTGCGATGATGAATCAGTCAGTAACGTTAGAATTTTATATATATATATATATATATATATATATATATATATATATATATATATATATATATATATATATATATATATATATATATGTAGATGTAGATAGATTTCGTGCCTTGAATTATACTGTAAAAACATTGTAATGTTCGACTTGAATTCAAGTTTCCTTTTCACTGGAGAATGCTATTGAATTAAAGTGTAATGAAAGTGTATTTCAACAATTGAAATTTGAATGTTTGACTGGAATTAAACTTGTTTTAAACTTTAATTCCAGCAAGAATGCATATTGGGTATAGTGTGACAATTATAAGGGATCTAAAGTCGACATAAAGCCCACAATGGTTAGTACCGATATTTTGCCCAAACAACATCTACATACATATATAAGACGACAACCTAGCTAGGTTATATCCTCTAGGTCCGGGAAGACATTCTATACAAAGCTATAAATTCGTATAAAAGGCGGATTACCAATTGTTTCTTGTAAATATTCGGCCACCATAGTGTTTGGAGACAACAAGAGCATCACTGAAAGGCACACCAGACAGACATCGCGCTCTATTATAATAATAAGTATGTATCCTTGTGGTAACTCCTGGATACGGCAATCAGCGTCCGTCCATTGCCTCTAGGTGATAATATACCATATCACCACTAGCCGACCGACCACCACCCGCCTAGGTGACTAGGTAGGTATACAATTGCCACTCTCTTGTGGGCATTCTTCCAGGAGACCATCATGATGCCCCCTCTTTCTTAAAAAGAAAGACGTTCTTTAGAGACAAATAAATAATTAATTAACATCATTACTTACATTTTTTAATCTTCTAGATCTCACAAACATGCCAAATCAATCAATATTTTTAGTATTTACACAAAACTAAAATTACATATATTTTATAACTTTAAAAAAAAATTCAAACAATTTCCAAACTCAACACGTTCTACACTTGTTACAAAATTCTTTAATTTTTGGGTTATTGGAAACACTATTTTACGAATTTTCATTTCCACACAATACAAAATCGCTCTAATTTATAATATTGATGTTTTAAACATCAATGAATGTATGATATGAAATCGCTGATTTACCATCATTGCATTTGTGGCTTAAATAGTGCTGCCACATGATTTGTTATAAATCCCACAGGGAAAATATTTTTTCCCGTATAAAATGTGAAAATATATTTTTACTTTTTAGCAGGACTTTAGCCGCGACAGCTTTTATCAATCGAGGTAAAATTAATCCAACGAGTTATCAAAACATTCTTCAGATACACAAACTACTAAAATACAAGGAAATAAATTCCAAAATATGTACACTAACCCAAGCAAAGTTTTGTTTATAGTAAATATACCAAGATCGTAAAACTTATAGAACAACAAAAGTTCTAAATAAATATGACTAAGCAAAGCTTAATCATTTACTTATTCAATTAATATCACTAAAATTCCTCCACCAAAATCAGTCATACATTTTTAAAGTGCCATAAATGGAAAACACAACTCTCCTAAAAAAGCAGGCATCACTGTTAAAAACTGCTTGCACTTGTTGTTTGTTTGTGTGTTTGTGTACAACGGAATGAAGTAACGAAGAAGAAGAGCAAAAAAATTTGTGAGCCGTACAAAAAAAGAACAGATTAATTATCTAGACAATATTTAATTAGATTACCTTAAATCAAAGTTTTATAAACAAAAATTAAAACAATAAAATGTATTTCAAGTGTCTGACACTGAAAATATAAAATGCAAAAGAGCATAAAGTGAAAAATTCTAAAACTAAAAAAGAAAAACTCATAATGAATAGAGAAATTTTAATGAATTGAAAAAACAAGAAAAAAACAAAATTTTTCACCTTTTGATTTTTTTTTATAATTTTGCAAACAGCCGTATAGACAAAGTAAAAGAAAAATTTAATTGATATTACAATATTAAAAATTCAACATAATACGGTTTATTTTTATAAAAAGTTTTTGACCATTTTTGTAAATTGGCAAAAAAAATTAAAAAAGAAATAATTGAAAGTTGTGGGTTGTTGGAATTTGTTGGACGTATCTTTTTATGTGAGTGCGTTTGCTTGTGCAGTTCCTCCTCTCGTCGTTTGCGATTTTTGTTTGTGGTGTGTAAATGTATGTAAATGTGTGTGCGTTATGGAAGCAACAAATGCCAATTTAAGAAATTAACAAAAAAGAAAAGAATTGAAGACACCACACAACAAAAAAAGGGAAGTCAAGTCAGTCAATCGTCATTATATTTGTATTCAGTACTACAATAACTAATATAAAGTAGAATAAAACAAAAGAAACAGGTGAGTTGTTTTTTGGAAAACAATTTTGTTACGAGGGTTGTTCCTAGTATATAAAAGATACATTTGTATCTTTAAAATTTTCTTATTTGTTGTATTTAGCGGTTTATTTTAAGAAGAGTGTCTGGTACAAAGACACTTATTCTTCCCTATATTAATTAATTTATTGGTGAAGTTATTATGCATTTCGGTAAATGTTTTGTACTCCAAAGTTTGGGGTTATTTTTTTTTAATTGTTTAATTTTTACTAATTTTTATCTATTAGCTCTGCTAATAGAAAGTTATAGGGAGAGATGTACATACATATAATTTGATCAGCAGCAATAATAACACAATTTCGACCTTTGAATCTCCACTCCACAACGAACCGATTCTTAATCGGCCAAAGATTGTCAACTCAGCAATAGCTGTATCAGCCGGAAGTTTTTCTCCCAGGGAACAACATCCAGTCACAGCCAATCTGTTCCAACAACACAATTTCGATGTAAATGGTAATAATATACCCTACATTACTGTATTGCGGAGCAATTGGAATCGATTAGTGAAGGTGAATCCATATAGGGATTAGTTACTCTAGCGAATTTAGAAAAACAGAAGCGAATTGGTTTTCTTTTTTTTTTTTTTATAAATTTACAATAAGAGAAAAACGGTCAATGAAATTACTTTATAACCGATTCGCTGATTTTCACACTACAATTATATTATTTTCTTCCTTCTACCTGCCATTTGTATCTTCATTATTATGTTTAAAAACAAAAATAATGGTATCTAAAATACAAGACTACATTATAGACTAGACTACAGACTAGACTATAGACTAGACTATAGACTAGACTATAGACTAAACTATAGACTAGACTAGACTATAGACTAGACTAGACTATAGACTAGACTATAGACTAGACTATAGACTAGACTATAGACTAGACTATAGACTAGACTATAGACTAGACTATAGACTAGACTATAGACTAGACTATAGACTAGACTATAGACTAGACTATAGACTAGACTATAGACTAGACTATAGACTAGACTATAGACTAGACTATAGACTAGACTATAGACTAGACTATAGACTAGACTATAGACTAGACTATAGACTAGACTATAGACAAGACTATAGACTAGACTATAGACTAGACTATAGACTAGACTATAGACTAGACTATAGACTAGACTATAGACTAGACTATAGACTAGACTATAGACTAGACTATAGACTAGACTATAGACTAGACTAGACTATAGACTAGACTATAGACTAGACTATAGACTAGACTATAGACTAGACTATAGACTAGACTATAGACTAGACTATAGACTAGACTATAGACTAGACTATAGACTAGACTATAGACTAGACTATAGACTAGACTATAGACTAGACTATAGACTAGACTATAGACTAGACTATAGACTAGACTATAGACTAGACTATAGACTAGACTATAGACTAGACTATAGACTAGACTATAGACTATAGACTAGACTATAGACTAGACTATAGACTAGACTATAGACTAGACTATAGACTAGACTATAGACTAGACTATAGACTAGACTATAGACTAGACTATAGACTAGACTATAGACTAGACTATAGACTAGACTATAGACTAGACTATAGACTAGACTATAGACTAGACTATAGACTAGACTATAGACTAGACTATAGACTAGACTATAGACTAGACTATAGACTAGACTATAGACTAGACTATAGACTAGACTATAGACTAGACTATAGACTAGACTATAGACTAGACTATAGACTAGACTATAGACTAGACTATAGACTAGACTATAGACTAGACTATAGACTAGACTATAGACTAGACTATAGACTAGACTATAGACTAGACTATAGACTAGACTATAGACTAGACTATAGACTAGACTATAGACTAGACTATAGACTAGACTATAGACTAGACTATAGACTAGACTATAGACTAGACTATAGACTAGACTATAGACTAGACTATAGGACTAGACTATAGACTAGACTATAGACTAGACTATAGACTAGACTATAGACTAGACTAGACTAGATATAGACTAGACTATAGACTAGACTATAGACTAGACTATAGACTAGACTATAACTAGGCTATAGACTAGACTATAGACTAGACTATAGACTAGACTATAGACTAGACTATAGACTAGGACTATAGACTAGACTATAGACTAGACTATAGACTAGACTATAGACTAGACTATAGACTAGACTATAGACTAGACTCTAGACTAGACTATAGACTAGACTATAGACTAGACTATAGACTAGACTATAGACTAGACTATAAGACTAGACTATAGACTAGACTATAGACTATAGACTAGACTATAGACTAGACTATAGACTAGACTATAGACTAGACTATAGACTAGACTATAGACTAGACTATAGACTAGACTATAGACAAGACTATAGACTAGACTATAGACTAGACTATAGACTAGACTATAGACTAGACTATAGACTAGACTATAGACAAGACTATAGACTAGACTATAGACTAGACTATAGACTAGACTATAGACTAGACTATAGACTAGACTATAGACTAGACTATAGACTAGACTATAGACTAGACTATAGACTAGACTATAGACTAGACTATAGACTAGACTATAGACTAGACTATAGACTAGACTATAGACTAGACTATAGACTAGACTATAGACTAGACTATAGACTAGACTATAGACTAGACTATAGACTAGACTATAGACTAGACTATAGACTAGACTATAGACTAGACTATAGACTAGACTATAGACTAGACTATAGACTAGACTATAGACTAGACTATAGACTAGACTATAGACTAGACTATAGACTAGACTATAGACTAGACTATAGACTAGACTATAGACTAGACTATAGACTAGACTATAGACTAGACTATAGGACTAGACTATAGACTAGACTTATAGACTAAGACTATAGACTAGCACTATAGACTAGACTATAGACGAGACTATAGACTAGACTATAGGACTAGACTATAGACTAAGACTATAGACTAGACTATAGACTAGACTATAGACTAGACTAAGCTAGACTATAGACTAGACTATAGACTAGACTATAGACTAGACTATAGACTAGACTATAGACTAGACTATAGACTAGACTATAGACTAGACTATAGACTAGACTATAGACTAGACTATAGACTAGACTATAGACTAGACTATAGACTAGACTATAGACTAGACTATAGACTAGACTATAGACTAGACTATAGACTAGACCTATAGACTAGACTATAGACGAACTATAGACTAGACTAGACTACTATAGACTAGACTATAGACTAGACTATAGACTAGACTATAGACTAGACTATAGACTAGACTATAGACTAGACTAAGACTAGACTATAGACTAGACTATAGACTAGACTATAGACTAGACTATAGACTAGACTATAGACTAGACTATAGACTAGACTATAGACTAGACTATAGACTAGACTATAGACTAGACTATAGACTAGACTATAGACTAGACTATAGACTAGACTATAGACTAGACTATAGACTAGACTATAGACTAGACTATAGACTAGACTATAGACTAGACTATAGACTAGACTATAGACTAGACTATAGACTAGACTATAGACTAGACTATAGACTAGACTATAGACTAGACTATAGACTAGACTATAGACTAGACTATAGACTAGACTATAGACTAGACTATAGACTAGACTATAGACTAGACTATAGACTAGACTATAGACTAGACTATAGACTAGACTATAGACTAGACTATAGACTAGACTATAGACTAGACTATAGACTAGACTATAGACTAGACTATAGACTAGACTATAGACTAGACTATAGACTAGACTATAGACTAGACTATAGACTAGACTATAGACTAGACTATAGACTAGACTATAGACTATAGAATAGAATTTATGCAAAGCTTATATAATGACTTCTAAAGAAGTTGTGATCATGAATATGAGTTCGAGAGACGGTATCTCATTTTCTATGTAATTACCAAACTCTTTCGAGAGCATTCTTAGATTTGCCAAATTGGGGTTGATTATACAATCCTTGTTCTTTTATCTTCTTTTCGTTACCAGTCGCTTTTTCTTGTTTTTTTTTCCATTCTTTGTATTTCTACTTTTTTCTTTGTCTTTCGTCACTTTCTTTCCTTTTTCTTGTAGATCTTTTTGAATCCAAGTTGAGCTGTAGTACTCATTGTACATTAATTGCATGTGACACATAATTTTATTACATTTTTCACAACATTCTGTTTATTTGGGAACGATTTAGTTATAGAAGATATGTCATTTGTTGTTCATACATTTTAAGTTATAACTTCATAGTATGTAATTTATTACAATGTACTAATTACGATTTTAGAAAACATTTAGATGAATTCTGCAAATGTAATTAATGTCCATATTGGAAAATAAGCCCCCTGCTTTTGCCAGTTCTGTTGGTATTATATATTATTATAGGTTTTAATTTCATAAATCAATATATTTATGTTTCCTAATCTTAACTTGACGTTCATAGTATCACTTTTCATATTTGAAATTAGTATTTAGAACATTTCTAATACTCGAAAGATTTTGTGTCCCATTACTTTCTTAAATATGTGTGTTAAGTAGTCTACTCTCTCCACTATTAGCTAGTACCTAAGGAGAAATATAAACTATATGTTAGTACGATTCTGGATTGGTATTAAGTACATATTAGAATTAATTACTAATAAGTATATTTTAAATTTACAATTGGCATTTTATTACCATTGACTTTGAAAAGGAACTTCTTCTCTTTTTTTGGGAATTAAAAAACCTAGAGTTATGCTAATATTTTAGGTTGTTCTATTCTAGGTAATCTGCTACAAGAGCTTAATTCTCAACAACATTTTTTTTCAAAAAGTATGACCTAAAAAAGGAATCATTAGCACAAAGAAAACTGAAGGGTTAACACTTTATATGTATGAATATTATTTACCAAAACCTATTTATTTTTTTTTAATATAAACACAATACATATATATGTCTGTACATACATACATATGTATACGATCTACATGCAACATATAAAATCAGCCAGACAGCAATTCTGCTGTTTAGCTGCCTGAGAGCTTCGAAATCAAACCACAGTTGAGTATTTTGTTTCATAGACAAAAGACGTGTTTGTCGAACTCTCTTAAACATTTTAGATAATAACAAAAGTGCTACAAAAATTAAGATTAATCAAAACTAACAAAATGAGCAGAAATAAAATACAAATATTTATTAAAAATTTTTATGGAAATAGAAAATTTATTAATTGCAAAAAGAAACGTTAGATGTTTAAAAATGAAATTTTTTGTAAAAATTATTTAAGTGAATATTTCTTTTACAAAAATTGTTTTTTGAAGTGGTAAGTTTAAGTTGAATTTAGAAGATAAAATATCTTTTTTTTTATAAAGCGGATTAATTGTATCATTGTAGAAAAAAATTAAAGGTTTAAATTCGTTTTACAAAATGAAGTACAGTCCTTATAAAAGTTTGGCAGACGGAGCGGGCTCCAACAAATTTATTCTATTCTGCTTATGTAAGGTTTAGCTAAATAAGGGTTTGGATCATAAATAAGTGCAACTTCACTCGAAAACCATAAGGTCCATTGTGAATCCCTACGTAGAAACACTAAGAAAAACAAGAATGAACATAGTAGAGGTTTCAAAGCAAAAGATTTATCAAGTCGACTGCATAAAGAAAGAAATGTGAGAGAATCGTAGTCTCTTTATAAAACCTAGTGGAAGAAATGACTATCTTGGCAGCATACCACAGTCAAATTCAAAACATGCTTATTCCTCTTTTCATGCTTTGTAATAAAAAAATACATTTTGACACTATATGCCTCAAATTACTTTCTAAGGGTTAAAGCACTAAAATTTTGAGTAGTTTTTATGTATAACAATTTTTTATTGATATTTTATATATTGATATTGAAATCGCCCAAACACAATAACTAATGCTTTGTTTATAATTTGCGGTACATGCTTTTAAATGGTAAAGCATTTACTGCTTAAATCAGCAATTTATGCTTTTTAACTTAAAACTAATATACATATGTAATCTCTTTTAAAAATAATAAGCGAAATTCATGTTTTAAGAGTAAAGTAATAAAAGACAAGAGTAATAAAAACATATAAGAGTCCAGAGAGAATGTTTACTTTATTTTATACTATAATAGCGTTTCTTCAGTAACCCCAAAGATTTGGTGACGATCTGTAGAGTACATCAAAGACTTGTTTATTAACTTATCCATTTATTAAATAGTCCATAGACTAGTCCATACTCTAGTCTGTCAACTAGAACTAAACTAGAACTAAACTAGAACTGAACTAGAACTGAACTAGAACTGAACTAGAACTGAACTAGAACTGAGAACTGAACTAGAACTGAACTAGAACTGAACTAGAACTGAACTAGAACTGAACTAGAACTGAACTAGAACTGAACTAGAACTGAACTAGAACTGAACTAGAACTGAACTAGAACTGAACTAGAACTGAACTAGAACTGAACTAGAACTGAACTAGAACTGAACTAGAACTGAACTAGAACTGAACTAGAACTGAACTAGAACTGAACTAGAACTGAACTAGAACTGAACTAGAACTGAACTAGAACTGAACTAGAACTGAACTAGAACTGAACTAGAACTGAACTAGAACTGAACTAGAACTGAACTAGAACTGAACTAGAACTGAACTAGAACTGAACTAGAACTGAACTAGAACTGAACTAGAACTGAACTAGAACTGAACTAGAACTGAACTAGAACTGAACTAGAACTGAACTAGAACTGAACTAGAACTGAACTAGAACTGAACTAGAACTGAACTAGAACTGAACTAGAACTGAACTAGAACTGAACTAGAACTGAACTAGAACTGAACTAGAACTGAACTAGAACTGAACTAGAACTAGAACTGAACTAGAACTAGAACTGAACTAGAACTGAACTAGAACTGAACTAGAACTGAACTAGAACTGAACTAGAACTGAACTAGAACTGAACTAGAACTGAACTAGAACTGAACTAGAACTGAACTAGAACTGAACTAGAACTGAACTATAACTGAAATAGAGTATTAACTTTCTCATAATCTAGTCCTCAATCTTGCCCATAGACTAATTCGTAGACTTGTATATGGGCTGGTATACAGGCTAGACCGTAGTTTATAACATATTTCTATTCTACAACAAATTAAGAATTTATTAAACATTTAATAAAATTATATTAACACTTTTCTTTTCATTTCAGCGAAGAAAACGAAAAAGGAAAAAAAAACTATTTAACTTATTGTTTTATAGCATTAAACTGTTAAGTTGTAACTCTTAACTTAATATGGACAACAATGCTGTACAATGCATTAGTACAACAACGGCAGTGGCAGATGATAGTGACAATGATGAAGTAACGGATTTCTTAAATTCCAATTCTTCCCCAAATGCTCTTACACCCTTAAGTACTGTTGCTACTTCTATAACTACTACTACTACTTCTTCGATAGCAACTGCAAACATTACAACTGAAACTGCTACCTTAAATACTACAACAACAAGCTTTAATAATATTGTGGAAAATTCTAAAGCTAATTTGAATAATATAAATCGTACTAATACCGTAGAAAGTCAAAATTATTGTATACCTGTTATCAATACACCGCCACCCAATAATAATCAACAACATTCCACTCAATCTCGTCAATCTGCTTTAACCTCATCTTCTTTCACCTCCTCGAACAATAACAATAATAACAACAATAATAATACTTTTAATTCTCAACAATTGTTAGCAACTAAAAACGACAATAACATGATACCCATTATAAATGTTACACCTCATAGTCCTGCCAATGTCTCGAAATACAATAACATTTTCGAGGACACTCTCTCACAATTGCAGAATATACGCGAAAGTGTAGTGCAAATGAAAAATTCTTCAACTCACATGAATGATAGCCTTTCCAATTATGGTTTAGTTAATGCCACCATACTTAGTGCTTCTCTGCCGGATCTTTCGGCTACGGGAAATGGTGGTGTGGGTTCATCGGGTGTTGGTCCTTATGGACCATTGGCTGCTCACTTTGTTATGTGGTCGCCGCAGCAACAACAACAGTATTTATTAAATGCTGATCGCCGTAAATCATGGACTGGCATTGATGACTTAACAGCTGGTGGTGATTGCACGAATAAAAGTGTTAGTCTGTCGAGTTTGGATAGTGAGGAGCAGGAAACGATAAGGGTTACTGAGCAACGAAGACGTTCCGCTAGGAATAGCACTGGTGGTAAGTTAATGTTTTTTTTAATTGTAGTTGTATATGAAGTGATTTAAACTTTGTGAGAAATGTATTAAAAAATAATTCGAAAAGTTTTAAATTATAATTTTTCTAATACTGTTATTAAATTATAGTCCAGCATGAAGCATCAATCGCAATCCAAAACGATAAATAAGAAACTAAGGATAAAAATCAAACTTAACTAGAACTGAACTAGAACTGAACTAGAATTGAACTAGAACTGAACTAGACTGAACTAGAACTGAACTAGAACTGAACTAGAACTGAACTAGAACTGAACTAGAACTGAACTAGAACTGAACTAGAACTGAACTAGAAACTGAACTAGAACTGAACTAGAACTGAACTAGAACTGAACTAGAACTGAACTAGAACTGAACTAGAACTGAACTAGAACTGAACTAGAACTGAACTAGAACTGAACTAGAACTGAACTAGAACTGAACTAGAACTGAACTAGAACTGAACTAGAACTGAAACTAGAACTGAACTAGAACTGAACTAGAACTGAAACTAGAACTGAACTAGAACTGAACTAGAACTAGAACTGAACTGGAACTAGAACTGAACTAGAACTGAACTAGAACTGAACTAGAACTGAACTAGAACTGAACTATAACTGAACTAGAACTGAACTAGAACTGAACTAGAACTGAACTAGACTGAACTAGAACTGAACTAGAACTGAAACTAGAACTGAACTAGGAACTGAACTAGAACTGAACTAGAACTGAACTAGAACTGAACTAGAACTGAACTAGAACTGAACTAGAACTGAACTAGACTGAACTAGAACTGAACTAGAACTGAACTAGAACTGAACTAGAACTGACTAGAACTGAACTAGAACTGAACTAGAACTGAACTAGAACTGAACTAGAACTGAACTAGAACTGAACTAGAACTGAACTAGAACTGAACTAGAACTGAACTAGAACTGAACTAGAACTGAACTAGAACTGAACTAGAACTGAACTAGACTGGAACTAGAACTGAACTAGAACTGAACTAGAACTGAACTAGAACTGAACTAGAACTGAACTAGAACTGAACTAGAACTGAACTAGAACTGAACTAGAACTGAACTAGAACTGAACTAGAACTGAACTAGAACTGAACTAGAACTGAACTAGAACTGAACTAGAACTGAACTAGAACTGAACTAGAACTGAACTAGAACTGAACTAACTGAACTAGAACTGAACTAGAACTGAACTAGAACTGAACTAGAACTGAACTAGAACTGAACTAGAACTGAACTAGAACTGAACTAGAACTGAACTAGAACTAAACTAGAACTGAACTAGAACTGAACTAGAACTGAACTAGAACTGAACTAGAACTGAACTAGAACTGAACTAGAACTGAACTAGAACTGAACTAGAACTGAACTAGAACTGAACTAGAACTGAACTAGAACTGAACTAGAACTGAACTAGAACTGAACTAGAACTGAACTAGAACTGAACTAGAACTGAACTAGAACTGAACTAGAACTGAACTAGAACTGAACTAGAACTGAACTAGAACTGAACTAGAACTGAACTAGAACTGAACTAGAACTGAACTAGAACTGAACTAGAACTGAACTAGAACTGAACTAGAACTGAACTAGAACTGAACTAGAACTGAACTAGAACTGAACTAGAACTGAACTAGAACTGAACTAGAACTGAACTAGAACTGAACTAGAACTGAACTAGAACTGAACTAGAACTGAACTAGAACTGAACTAGAACTGAACTAGGACTGAACTAGAACTGAATTAGAACTGAACTAGAACCGAACTAGAACTGAACTAGAACTGAACTAGAACCGAACTAGAAGTGAACTAGAACTGAATTATAATTATAAACATTTGTCTTATAAAACTGATCGTTTGCTGATATTAGATCTTTCGTTATTTATCAACTATTTAATTTTCTTACATTTATTTGCCCTTTAAACGTACGTGCTTTCCTTTTACATTATTATCGAAATCAAACATTTAATAAAAATTTGAAGCACCAGGCCCCTCAAAGATAAAATATACTTACATACCATACAAACTGAGTTTAGTCACCCATATAAAACTCAATGTCTGTTCCACTATAAACACTCAAAAATTATACACATTATCTACTATTTCGTCACCAGTATTTATTTAGTTTTTTTAATCAATGCTTTTAAAGAATTATCATTATCAAATAAATTAGCAATATTTTAAACAAAAGAAAGAAAACGAAACTGAGTGAAAATGTTTTTTTCATATCATTATTACTTACAGGTATTTCGACGCATTCTTTGAATGAGGCAGAGCTAGCAAGAGATTTTGAACGCATTGCCGCTAAAAGAAGTTTGGCCACCGAAATTATTAGCCGCATACCTTTGCAGAAAAGTATTTCCACGTCTTCGATAGTAGCTAAGGAAGATATTAAGGCTATAGCTAGACATCTAACCGATAGTGAAGATGAAAATCAAAGTCTTTTGAGGGCACATGCTAAAATTGAAGTATACGATAACGTAGAGAAGAGACGTAAACGTGGTTCATTGTTTTTCCGCAAGAAAAAAGATAAAACAAAAATGAAATCAATTGGTGGTCAGGTGGCCAATTGTGATGTTTGTGGTGTTAGTTTGTCCTTGGGAACTCTAAAAGATCATCAGCTGGAGTGTAAGGGTGGTGGTAGCGGCAGTGGCGGTAAAAAGGGAAGTACTGCTGGCCTAGTAGGCGGTTTAAACAAAAAATCGGATAAAAATGAAATGGGTCAAGATTTCTATGATGGTACGGAACAAAATTCCAATTATAATGATGATAATACACCTTTAATAAGATCCGAGTTTCTAAATGATGCCCCCATAGAAGCTCATGATCTAAAAGCCGATCCTGCTTTGGGTATATGCTTAAAAGAGCATGATTCTTGGTCTCCCGGTATACCCAAGGATATATTGAAAACCCTTAAGGATACACAAATCAAAAGACAAGAACATATTTATGAATTTATAATGACTGAAAAGCATCACTGTCAAACGTTGTTGGTCATGCAAAAGGTGTTTGTAGAGAGTATGGAACGTTATTTTCCAGCACTTAATTGCAATAAAATGTTTCCTAGACTGCAGGAGTTAACGGAATTGCATTGTGGTTTCCTGAAAAAGTTGAGGTTAAAACAAAAGGAACATTTTGTGGTGGATTCCATAGCTGATATTTTATTGGAATTTTTCTCCTTGGAAAAGGCGCAACATTTGCGTCTGGCTTATGGCGAATTCTGCGCTAATCATCGTTCTGCTTTGGAACAATTTAAATCCTGCATGACTAGCCGTGATCCCACATTCTCTGAGTGGTATAAACACTGTCTAACTAATCCTCTACTGAAAAAGAAGGGCATACCCGAGTGTATATTGTTTGTAACACAACGTTTAACTAAATATCCCCTGCTAATAGAGCCTTTATTGAAAAGTGCCCGTGAAGATAAATTAGAATGTGATAAACTGCAGCATGCTTTGGCTTTAGTTAAGGAACTGCTGGTCGATGTAGATGCCTGTGTGGCCGAAAAAGAGCTAAGAGAACGCCAAATCGATATCTACAATCGCATAGATAATAAATCATTTGCTATTTACAAAAATAAACCTTTCCGCAAAACAGATGTGGGTGTCGAATCAAAACGTAGACTTAAATTTGAGGGTTTGGCCACTTTAATGCAGGGCAGATCGAAAATGCAATTGGTGCTTGTGGTGGTGCTGACAGATTGTTTATGTTTCTTAAATGAAAATTCGGCTCATAATAAATACATGTTTTTCACACCAGAACACAAGGCGGGTGTAGTGCCTCTACAGAAACTATTGATAAGAGAAAAAGCGGGTACAGAATCTCGAGGCATTTATATTATCTCATCGAATCCTTTGTTTCCCGAAATGTACGAATTAAAAGTACAAACTCCCAAAGATAAAAATGTTTGGATACAATCCATACGCCAAGCAGTACTTGACTGTCCCTCTTCCGATGTCATAGAATCGGAAGATCTAACTCATGAGGAGAAATTGCGTATAGGTGTTAATAAAAGAGAAATAATAGAGAAAATAAGACAAAAGGACATAGAGCAGGCTATATTGCTAGAGGAAAAGATACTCTTGCAATTGAATCTAATACAAAAAGATCAAAAACTTTTTGCCGAACAACAGCCCCAAGAACAACAACAGCAGCAGCAAATTAATAATGCCAGCAACATGAGTGCTGCTCAATTTCTAACTACATTTGGTTCTTATAAAGATCTGTCAGTGGGAGCCGATTGTGATACTGGCGAATTGTGGAAAAAGGTATTGAATACCGTACAGGATATAACACAATTGGCTTCCACTGTTTATACAGCTGCCACAGGACAACCAGTCTCAAGATCTGTTAGTTCGGTGGGTGAGAAGCACAGTGATACCTACAACTCTCCTACCCTACCTAAAAGAGCAGAAACTTTTGCCGGTTTCGATGAGAAAAGAGCAAAAAACAATTTCCCCTGTAGAGCCGACAAATTGGGCACATTACAAGTATTATCGCCACGTTTACAAGAACTAGAGGAAACTAAAAAAGAAACCAAAAACTCTTCAATAATATCCACACTTCTAGCAACGGCTGGTGGGGAAATGGACTCGCAAATATGTGATACATTAAACCCCAGTGGTGGTAGCCTAGCTGTAACCAAAGATAATAATTTAGCTTTACTACAAGTTACCCACAATCTACACACTCTGCTGTGTATCATTTCACAGCAAATGACCACCATACAATCGCTGCAGCTGCAGTTAGCTCTTTACCGTGAAAGTCCCCGAGCCTCGTACACCCACAATGATCAGTTGGAGGAATTGAGAAATTTACAAGATAAACTGCAAGAAGAAAAGACAGCTTGGATGCGTCAGAGGGAGCAGCAAGAACAGGAATTGAATGAGAAAAAAGAAGCACTCGATAAAATGCAAGAACAAATCAACACCCAGCAGGAAGATATCAAACAGCAGCGTGAACAGTTGTATAGAAAAATGGAAGTGTTGTCAAGTCAAGGTCTGCTCATTTCACCCAATACACCACTCAATATATCTACACAACTTTTACAAAGCTCGACAGCAAATAATGCCAATGAATTGGATAATGATGTACATGACTCGAATAGTGCGTCAAATGTACATGATTTAACAGCTATGACAAATACCGGCTCTTCTAATGCAAATGCATGCAACACCCCTACGCTAACCTCTGTGGCAAGTACAGTGGACAGACGTAAAGATAAATGGCGTACTGCTTCGACAATATCAAAAACTCCACCTGTTAATCTGTTAAGTGCTACAAATGCTCCAAAAACTCAAGCCAATGTGGTAAAACAAAAAATACCCATGAAACTATCATCCCTATCATCGACCACATCGAATTCTTCATCTAATGCGGGTGCAGCAAATAAAGTGGATAAATCTAATAGTTTTACCACCAATAATCATTACAACTCTTCCTCAGCGGCGGGTATAACACAAATGTTTCCCCTTAAATTGGCCGATAAACGTAATAATTCCTCAACTCCCTTAGCCTCTCAACTAATACCACAACATTCACGTACTGGCAGTTCTCCGGCCATTATACAACACCCACAAACGCCCCATAATAGTGCTGCAAATTTAACCTCACCCACACCACCCTCCTCGGCAGGAGTAACACGCACCGATTCTTCGGCCACTTTCACATATGGTCAACGTTATTCTTTGGGTTCAGCCAACGCGGCAGTCACTTCTACTCCCACCTCCAGTCGCATAATTTCCCATACTTCAGCGGCACAAACAAAAATACCTCATATGTCAACTGTAACAGCAGCAGCATCAACAACATCTTTACCATCTTCCACAAATCCAGCAACTTCCTCTTCAACAGCAGCAACATCAAATCGTCCAAATGTTCAAACAAAACCCGAGGAAGAAGAAATCTATTTTTGACGTAAGTTTTCTAAAGAAGTGGAAATATAAAATTAATAATAATCTAACAGCTTATCATAATACTAAGAAGGGCTTAATTGATATGTTTAAATAAGTAAATATCTTAATTTATACATCATATACATACATACATATTAGTTTATGTATAGACTCAGTATTGACTTAAAAGTATTATTAAAAATTTTTATTTTTTTTTAACAAAAAATTTTTGCAAACTTTGGATTTTTAAAGATTTATGGTTTTTTAAAGTTTTATCATTTATTAGTTCGTTGTGATCTTTTACAAATTTTGCATTTAGTAAAATAAAAACTATTTCTATAAAATTTTATAATTTTCAGTTAATTTATTAGTAGAATATAGTCGGAATTTGAAACCGAATCACCGTATACATGATCATAACGTTAACACTTTTCGAAAACGAAAATTGGGTAAAAAGTGCTAGTATTTCTTCTAGATATCGAATGCCATCCATCGTCTCAAAAAGGAACATTAAGATAAATTTTACTAGATCAAGAATGCGATAATTTAGCCCCAGAGTTTTGTTCTCTTAACACAGAATGTGTGAGTTGTATCAGGATATTTTAAATTCTTAGTTCTTATAAAATTAATAAATAAGTCAGACAGGACTAGCCTTATTTCAATAATTTCCGACTTCTTATTGAATAAGAGATGCATATGTATATAGAAAGTCTGGCATCGTTCAGTAGAAGATGGTTTAGATTGAAGAAGATGATCTATCCGCTTACTATGCAGATCGTTTTTCTAATTGTTTTTGTATATTTGGTCACATTTTAAAACAAATTGATTGAATCATCGATAGAAAAGGAGCTGGTTAAAGAGTTTTTTTATTTTATGTTTTGTTTACGTTTTTCATATGTGGAATCTGTCTGATGTTTAAAGATCCTGATTAATATTACAGCTGTATTTTTCAAATAGTTTCTTTAATTCAGTTGATGATATCATTGATGTTCTCTGTATGATGATTAAAGTATAACTAATTAAAATTTATAAAGACAAGGGTATTATCTTCTGTCTCTTTCTGTTTTACCTGTGTACTTCACTGCACATCTTTTTCTCAGCTTGTTTGGGCGCTTCCTTATTGAGTTTGCCCTTCCTCTTTAAGTATTCTTCAACGGTTAAAGTTTGAGGTCCTACTTTCATGTTGGGTTCTCCTTTTAAGCACTCCAAACTTCTAAAGTTCGAATTATTTAAACACTTCTTTAAATAGGCAGAATCGACATGTGTTATAACAGAAACGATTTTGTCCTCATGATCTTCATTAAGGTATTAAGCCCCGTTCTTTATTCTTATATACTGGATGACATCGTCAGGCATAAAACTGTACTTCTCTGGTAAGAAAATAACATTGTTTTCTAACTCCAACATTGTCTTAACTCCAAATGTTGTTATCTTCCTTTCACATTTCCATATTATCAACTTCTTGTTTATGGATAAAACTGTACTTCTCGGGTATTGTTTTCTAACTCCAAATGTTGTTATCTTCCTTTCACTTTTCCATAATCTCAACTTCTCGTTCATAGGAATATCCTTTAAGGATAAAACTGCAATTCTCTGGCAAGAAGAATAACATTGTTTTCTAACTCCGACATTGTCCTCCAAATGTTGTTATCTTCCTTTCCTTTTCCATAATCTTAACTTCTCGTTCATAGGAATATCCTTTAAGGATAAAACTGCAATTCTCTGGCAAGTAGAATAACATTGTTTTCTAACTCCAACATTGTTTTAACTCCAAATGTTGTTATCTTCCTTTCACTTTTCCATAATCTCAACTTCTCGTTTATAGGAATATCCTTTAAGGATAAAACTGCAATTCTCTGGCAAGAAAAATAACATTGTTTTCTAACCCCAACATTGTTTTAACTCCAAATGTTGTTATTTTCCTTTAACAATTTCATAATCTCAACTTCTTATAGGAATATCCTTTAAGGATATAACTGTACTTCTTTGTTTTCTAACTCCGACATTGTCTTAACTCCAAATGTTGTTATCTTCCTTTCACTTTTCCATAATCTCAACTTCTCGTTCATAGGAATATCATTTAAGGATAAAACTGTATTTCTCTGGCAAGAAAATAACTTTGTTTTCTAACTCCAACATTGTTTTAACTCCAAATGTTGTTATCTTCCTTTCACTTTTCCATAATCTCAACTTCTCGTTTATAGGAATATCCTTTAAGGATAAAACTGCAATTCTCTGACAAGAAAATAACATTGTTTTCTAACTCCAACATTGTCTTAACTCCAAATGTTGTTATCTTCCTTTCACTTTTCCATAATCTCAACTTCTCGTTTATAGGAATATCCTTTAAGGATAAAACTGTACTTCTTTGGCAAGAAAATAACATTGTTTTCTAACTTTAATATTGTCGTAATTCCAAACTTTGTTATATTTCTTTCTTTAAACTCTTAAGAAATAGTACTTTAATTCAGAAACTTTAATATCAGGCTGATGATATTTCTATTTCGATTCTCCAATTTATACTAAAAATTGTAGATGAAGAGATGTTAAAATAAGCTGTTAGTTAGCGCTATATTTTATAATTTTTACATTTTATTAAAATGTAGTGGTAAAAATGTTTTTATATAAGTGAAAAAAAAATAGGATTTAGTTTTGTAACCGGCAGTGTTTGCCGTTGGTTACGCTAACACTTTTGCCGATCTTACCTTGATAAGGGCAAAAGGAGATTTATGAAATAAAATTCAAGGCAATGTAGCTGCCGATTTGAGTCTTAGTTTCAATCTGCTTTATTTGTGGCCAAGGGGCTCTTTTTATATAAAATTTACATATGTTCTATACTATTCTAACTTATTCTAATTTACATTCTATCTTACTTAATCCTATTCCATACATGTACTTATTGTAATTTCGATAGTCGCAACTTGAAGAATTGACCAATCATATTGTCTTCAAATTGGGGAATTGAGTGACTTTATCAATGTCACTCAAACACCAATATGATCCCTTTAAGCATTCGTCACATTTCATTCAAGTGCAGCTTGATCGATTCATAATACCATCTGTTTCAATTGGAAAATCTGTATCTACCAGTTGAAATGTATGTTTACATTCTATGTTTGTTAAATTTAGATTAAGGTCAATAGTTCCTATTGAATTGATTTCCTGATTTGTGATACCTGTTAATTTACATCTTTCTTCTGGAAAATATTCTTCATTTTCGAAATATTTGTTCATACGGCATAGGGATATGTCGGCACCTGTGTCGACAAGAAATGTTAATGTTTTATTTTTGTATGTGACAGTAATGAAATTTGTATTATTTTCAGTTAATTTAAAAATCCTTAATTTTGGCTTTCCGGAATATTCTCGTATTCTGAGCCTTCTATGTTTCCCGTGTCGTTTATTGTACGTATATATCTTCTGTCTATGTTAGTGCTATTATTATTATTCCTATGTGTATAACTGTTATTTCTGTTGTTAAAATCGTTGTTCCTAACATTTGTGTTACTGTTATTATTTGACCTAAAACTGTTGTTTCCAGCATTATTGTTACTTGTCCTGAAATTATTGTTTTGTCCTGAAATTGTTGTTATTTAGTCTGCAATTGTTGTTATTCTGTCTATAATTGTTGTTAATTGGTTTATAATTATTATTACTATTAGACCTATAATTGTTATTATTAAAATTTTGTCTATTCGGTCTAAAGTTATTGGTTTGCCTATAACCTCTTTCAAAATGCATAATAGAGCTTGGGTTTGCTTTTTGCTCATTTTCTAATTCAAGAGCAAGTTCTGTTGCTTCTTGAAGATTTTTGGGACGTGCAGCAAAAATTGCTGTTTTTAAATTGTCATTTATGCCTCTTTTAAATGATTCAAGGGCTAGTTTATTATTCAGGGTAATTATAACATTTTCTCCGGCTCTGTGGCATTATTTCCCAATTCTTCTATTCCCAATTTATTAAGGTTATCTATTATATCAGTTAATCTGTTCCTATAGTTATTTACTGTTAAATTTCTTTGGTACAAATTGTTTAACCTATCCTGTAGTTGTGGAATTGTCTTGTTACTTCTGTATCTTTGCTGTAATGCATTCTTCAACGCGTCAAAAGTATCAGGCACAGCAACAACACCAATAGCCGTTCTAACATTTGAAGTTAGTTTAGCATGAAAAACGTACTGAAGGAAATCCTTTTTAGCTATTTCTGATAAGGTCTTATATATGAGGTCACCTGTCACCATAAAACATTCTAGTTCGTTGACATTTCCAGAGAATAATGGGAGAGTTTTGGAAGTTGTTTCCAAACTAAATGCCGCCATGATGAATTCCTTATCTTCTTGCATTTGGGCCTTGTTCAAAAATTCTATTATTGTTTTACATAAATTATTAAATTCAATTTTCAGTGCAACTGTATTCTCAGTGTCACCTTCTATTTCTAATGCTGTCTGGAAACCTTCTTTAATATCTTCTATAATATCTAATTTTTCCTTTATGGTCTTTTTTGTATATTTTCTATTGGGACTTTTCTTTAAATTTGCCCAAATATCTTTTAATTTTTTTACAAATTCCTCCATATATAATTTTTATCTTATTTTTCTATAAGTCATACTATTACATATATATATATATTTTATTTTTTTATTTATTTATTTATTTTTTTTTTTTTACATATATAATTTTATATATAAAATTAATTTTTATACCTCTGTTATAGCATTACTATTAACAGGGTTATTATTAATACCAGCCACCCTTTTCCGGACATAATCCTTGAAATATTTGTTAATTTTGTATATGATAAATACAATAATTGCAATTATTATTATTATAAATTCTTTGTCAATTTCCTGTTTATTTTCTAATTGGCTATTATTATTTACTATATTTTCTTCTACCACCACCTCTTTACTTTGAGGTCTTCCCATTTTTTATTTCCTCTTTCAGCTTTTCTATTTCCACCCAGATTTCTTGAGCTCTTTCCCATTGGATTGGGTTTTGCTCGTCTTTTACAATTCTTATATTCTCCGCTAGTTTTCTTCTTAATTTAACTAGTCGTCCACCTCTTTATTTATTTATTTTCGTATCTATTTTTGGGATCGCTGTTAGTTTTTCCTCATTTAATCTTCCTTGCCTTCTTTTGTATTCTTCTATAGTTAATTTTTTAGGTCCTAATTTGGCCGGTACGTATTTTGGAATGTCTTCTTTTATTCCTGTAGGTTCATATTCTTCCATCTAAAGAAAGAATATGAACCTACAGGAACATTGTCTGCTTCCAATCCAAAAACTTTGAGGCTGATGTCGTGGTTATTTTCTTCAAATATCTTTATCATATTAACGGCTAACGAAAATTTTAAATTTTTAAAATTTAAAGCCCTCCCATTTTATCCTTAATTATAAAAAAAGACTACCGACATTATTATACATTCTTAAATCATTGATCATTTTTAGAATAAAGTCTTTATGAACCTGATCTATATTACAGCTGTATTTATCCAAATATTCGAAAATATTACGCTTCGAATTCTTCATATTCAGCTTCACGGTCAGTCATTTGTTCATCTACAGCAGACATTGTATGTCTAATGAGTGAAATTGGTCATAAATGTTCTCTAGTTTTTCTAGACGCGACTTATGTATCTTGTTTTTTTTATTTAAATAAAAAACAAAATTATCATTTTTATTTTCTGGTGTTCTTCAGAACATCCTCTTTTATTTAATTGAATCTTAAGATTAAAAAACTTAATATTTAATTTTTATTTAAATTAAGCTAAGCAACGAAGACTTTTTATGCTTACGTAAACAAAAGTGTAATTTAAAACTATTAAACTAGCCTACACTACTAACTAGCCGTTATTATTAATCTAGGGAGTGGGTATGTAACTCGCGCGCTTTAATCTAATAGGAAGGTTTGTTCATTAGCTTGCGATACGAAATATAATTAAGATTTTCAAGATTGAAAGATCAGTAACAATTTTTACATCTTTCCTCTTGTCAACATTTTCCATTGTTTTTTCATATACTGCGTTGTTGAGCAATTTAAAGAAATTTTGTTCAAATTTGAAATTTTGTTCAAATTTGAAATTTTGTTCAAATTTATTTTTTGCTACAGATCTATACATTGTATTCAAATCAATATATATATTTTTTAAGCCATGTCGACTACTTAAATGTTAAAATTCTATGAATCTTTTTTAAAATTAATCCATTTTTCAAACATTGTTTTAGTACTCTATAATGGATTACATAGGAATATTCTATAGAAAAATCTGCAATTAACTTTTTATATTTCGACTTTTCTACTTATCCTATTTCCTGTGCAAAATGGTAAATCATTGTGTGAATCATGTAAACTACTAGGATATACTTAACCAATTTCATACATATATCCATCATCAGAATTATCTTCAATATTTGTAATATCAATGTCAAATTTATCTTTTGACAACCATCTAAAACCTCCATAAGGAAGATATTTGGACATTGCCCAACCGTATAGGTTATTAGCATCTAAATATATTAAAAAGGAGGAAGGAGTACTATTGTCACCGTCAGCTAAATATTTATTGTTGGCTTTTGAATATCTATACACATTGTACTAGTCCTTTACGTATGCCTTTCTTTGTTAAAGAAATTATACATATATGAGTTAGCAACTCCAACTCTGTATTTGTATACTTCAATATATCC